TTTTTTTTTTTTTTTGAATTTTGAGTCTTGAACCCGTAAACCCGGCCCGGACCGGGCCCGGCCCGCCGGGTTTTTTTATTACCGAAAAGGCCCGGAACCGGCCCGCCATATGTCCGGTTCCGGGCCGAAAACCGGCTTTTCCGGGCCGGTTCCGGGCCGGTCCGGGCCGGGTTCGGTCCGGGTCCGGGCCGGGTCCGGTCCGGGTCCGGGCCGGTTCGGCGGGCCGGTTCAACCCTTGGCCATGTCTAATTTAGTTGTGAGCCATGGTTAGGGGCTGAAATTAGGCTTCTGTAGAATTAACATATAAGATTTGGTTTTGTACTTGTTTTTAAAAAATTGACATTCCTTAGGGACTTAATAGCAATTTCATGTTTTTTTAATATATTTCAATTCAATTTATGGGTTAATTATGTAATTCATTAAAAATCTAATAATTGTGCATGAATGGTCAAAGCACTGCACATCATGTTCAGTTTATTGCACATCAACGATAAATAAAATGCACAATACTGTGTGTATATGTACGTTAAAAATTAAAAAATTTACAAACTTTTTTAACGCGCTACAGAATGCATGACATTGTTTATTGGTTAGCTCGGTTGAAGTGACAGTCTGGAACATTAAAATTGAAATAATCGAGTCGAACATTTGGAAAAGATGAACGGACCGAATTGTTGTCCCAAACTGAATTAAAATCGAACCGAAGTGCTTGGTTCTTTTGGTCGGTTAAGAAATTTAACGAAGTAAATTGTAATTTATATTTATCAAAATATGCTGTGTATTTTATATTTTTTGTTCAATAATTTTTATTTATATTTTGCTCAAAATAACTATTATATTTATATAAGAATATGAAAAAAAAAAAGAAACTGAAACCGAACAAAAAATAATCAAAGTGTTCAAATTGAAATCAATAACCGAACGAAATATAAAATTTTAGAACGATTATTTATTTAGACCGACTTAGATCACTATGTGAAATATGTCAGTCATTATTGTGCAATTTGTGTAACACTCTTGTGCATAGTTTATTCGATCGGTTGATCGAATTATCATAAATACTCAAAATAGTTTATTATTCATATTATAAAAGTAAAATTAGTATTTTAATATACTTATATAATATTTAATATTAAGTTTGAAATTTATATATATATATATATATATATATATAAATCGGTAATACTTTTCATATAGTTCGACATGTTCAGTTATTTTGTTTATTTGAAAATACTAAATCCAAAATTTAACCAACTAATATTATTTGATCGATCAGTAGAATTTAATTTTGGTACGTGCAACGAGTACGTGTTGTGTCATAAAGTGCGACGTATTGTTGTATAAAGTGCAACGTATTGATATATAATGTGGTTTTTATGTACGTTAGTATACTTGTGGTTTTTGTGGATAGATGATGTGATGGATAATAAAGTATTATGGAGATCCGTTTTTTTCAAATTTATATTGCGTAACATTTTAGCGGGAGCTGTTGGCGTTAACTGTGGAGTGTGGTGTTAAAGTGCAATAAGTTATTTTATAACGTGCAACATTCCGCTATATAAAGTGCATTAATTTATACATTCCCATATAAATTATGTGTTCTGGAAAACTAGTTGTAATACTTATAATTGTACATCGAATTAACCTAAATAATTAAAATTTTATTTATTATTTTTATTATATAATTTATATATTATCATAAATTATTTTAATATTTTATATCATTTTTATTTAATAATTTATTTATTATTTAATATATATGAGTAACAAAATATATAAAAAATAATTTCTTATTACCTTTCAATAATTACAGATTTGACCCATGGGTCAAATTGAAATATATTTACAATTATAAAAATTACAAATAAATTCATAGACATAATCTAATTCTAAAAAAAGAGGCTTAGTCCCACCGTCCAATTTTAGGTTCAAATTGCCGGAATTTTTCGAACCAGAGCCTCTATTTCCGCCGCAGTTCTGACCGCCACAATCCCGGCGAAAAAACGGTGTGCACTATGGTCGGGTAGGAGCTATCGGAGTTTTCATGTCCGACCACCATGACTGTTAGTCTTCATCCCGACTGACCACCGGAAGTTTCTTCAGACGTCGGAGACCACGTTTCATTGTCCAGTATGTCCAATGTCGAGCTGCTTCACGGAGATTTCGAATTGTGTATCAATGGTCGATTTTGATCGGGACATCGTCGCCGCGGGTTCTTCGTCGGAAAACGATTCTAGATATCGGTGGATGGTGTTTCCGTCGTGAGTGGAGAATAAACTGCAATACGGCGACGACAGACACCGATAAGAGCTGCGGCGGGCGGTGGTGAGGCCATGGACGGGCGACCGTCGAGCTCCCGGAGGTGGCGACTGTTGTTCGCTGGTGTCGGTAGCTGGGTTGCAACGTCGGTTCACTGAATAATTATGTCGGCGACTGGAGAAGGCATGCTGTCGATGACGGGTGTTTGTCCCATTTTTTTTTTTTTTTGGTTTTTCTTTCCCCATTTTAGGTCCTTCTTTTGGTTTTTGGTCCGTTTTTTGTCTTGTCGTGTGTTTTCCTTTCTTTTGTCTTATTTTAGAGTCTTGTTTGTTTTTTCTAGTTTTTTGTGTTTTTCTTGTCGTTTGTGGTATGCAGGTTGGGTGACTTGGTCAGTTATAAATTTCAAGAAGAAATTGCTGAGCAAAATCAATTATCTAGAAGGATGAGTTGGGGTCGAACGGGAAAAAAACGGAATTCAATTTCGAATCCGGACGCGTGTGTACGAGCCCGAGAACCGCAACGCCCAATTTTCTTCACCGCGGCCCGCGAAGGTATCCGCGGCCGCGGGGAGCTGTTCATTCACTGCGCCCCGTTTTCTTCGCCGCGGCCCGCGAGGTGGTTCTGCGGCGGAGGGACAGTTCTGCAGTCAAAAATTCGCGGCTTCGGGAGTAGTCACGGGCGTGGAGCGTTTCTTCGTCGTGGCCCGCGGCGCTCCCAACGGCCGCGGAGGTCGCGGTTTTACAAATAAAATGGGACGGTTTCAGATAGCGAAAAAGGGGGGAAAACTTTGAATCTACTTTGGTTTTTAGGCTAGGGCTGGAAATGATAGATTCATTTTCTCAACGTTTTCATTTTCTTTTCATCTGAAAACACCTTTCTTCTTCAATTTTCACTTAGACTCTCTTGGATTTTCTTAGATTCAATTTTTAAAGGTTGTGATACTCCAAAAGGAACGTGATTCGAATTGTATTTTGATTTCATTTCTCGACTTGGATTATTCGTAAGTTCCTTTCATTTGATTATGGATCTGAATTATGGTTTTGAATCTATTGTTGTGATTGATATTGTAGTAAACATTTATCCAGTGTAGAATCAAAAGATTTGAACACCGGGTCGTGTCTCTCGAGGAAGGTTAGCCGGATTATTATGCACGCATATTCAAACACAAATAAAAGAAATAAAATTCCTAAACATTCTAATTCATATGGTTGGTTTTGGTTTTAATTATCAACTACTAAGAGAATTCAAGTAAAGAAATAGAAAATTTGAAAGCAACAACGAAGAACAAGCAGGATTTAAGAAGCTAAGGAGTCGAGGATATCCGTTTTGGTTCGAATTGCAATTAATGGGCAGTTGATTGTTCGGTTAAGTGATTTGAATAACCTGCTAGTTCAAGTACTCATCCTCAATAACTCTTCGTAACAAGAGAACAAACTTGAACGGCAAAATTAACAAGTCATTAACACCTAGGCAATACAGTTACGAACAAGCCGAGTTTATACAAGCTTATTTCGACTGACTCCTCCCCTTTTGGTTCTAAGAGTCGATTAAGATAGACTAGAGGGTTGTTAACCGACTAATCAATAAGAATCACCAACATCATGCTCCAATAAATCAAATATAATTGAAACAATTGGAAGTTGAAGTGTCACCCTTCAATAATTCTCAATATTCAAACGTAATAATTGAAAAAACCCTTTTTAAAGAACAACTCGTACAAATTGAACGATCAACAAACTCCAACAATCACAAACGAACCCAAAACATTAATCCCCTATCCCTAGCATAAGGATTTAGCTACTCGTGATCAATTCAACATCAACAATCATCTCAATCAAAGAATTCATATTTAACGATAAAGTTAAAAGAGAAATCATACGATGATAAATCCCGAGGTTGAATTTGATAAACAAGCTTGAATCCTAAAGCAATACTGAAATCCAAGTTTAAATCCATGTTCCACGTTGAAAAAGATGAAGAAAAGTGAAAAGAACGAGAGAAGAGTTGAGAGAGTAGGGCTTTTTATCGTGATAGATCTCGATCGAGAGTCCCAATCTCTTATTTATACTAGCCGGGTATGGTGTGAGGTAAAGGGCCGAGTGGCGTGCTGGGAGCTGTCACCACAGCGCGGAAGGCTCTCGAGGTGCGAAGGTGGCATGCGCCGCGGCGCGGAGAGGGGGCCTGTCGCGGCGCGGGACTGCTTCACGGCGCGAGGGAGCAGACCTGGGAATGAGCATCGCGGCGCGGGGCTTCATCACTGCGCGGCAGGGACGATCACCGCGGCGCGGAGCTGACACGACACAGGGCTTGGAACGTCTGGAGCCTCAGTTAGTCTCGCGGTGCATACCGCGCCGCGCGGCGGGCTGACTGCCGCGGCGTGGAACTCGGCACGGCGCGGCGCCTGGGAATCTGGTGGTCTATGTCGCACGACTTTACGTTTTGTGCTCGTATACACTCGTCTAAACTCGAAATCTGATTCCGTTTTCTCCAGTCTGATGCCAACGAACCCTACTACGAATTTATTCTTACCAAAACAATTTCCTACCCCATATCAAAACGATCAAGGAGCTCAACCTGCACACAACTCAAGACGAGGAAAAATATAGAAATCCAGAAAAACAAACTTAAAACAACGGAGAAGCTAAAACCAAGAGAAACACACAATAAACTATAAAACGAACTAAAAACTAACGAAAAGACCTAATATGGAGGAAAAGAAAGGCAAAACAATAATGAAAAATGCAACAAAAATGAGACAAACAACTCCCCCACACTTAAATCTTTGTTCATCCCGAACAAAAAGACACGAAGAGAAAAGAAAATAAGCAAACGAGCATGGATAACAGTTTCAAATAAGACAAGTCTCAAATTAATCAACTTAGCCGAGGAGACTTCCAATTACCAATATAGCATACCTCAATTACAACTCGAATGCTACGCTTTGAAAAGACAAACTCTCGAGCACGGAAATATAATATATATGCCTCACTCAGTTTCTTACATGAATATGAACTGGGTTCGCTCAAATTGGTCGATCATCCTGCTTCAACATAAGCTTGTCTATTGTCTATTCATACTCCAAAACAATCAAAGATCATGAATTTGCGAATCAAGAGGACTTCGCGGGTTGTAATGTAGGTATAAAAGGAAGGACAAATATGAAGATAAAGTAGCTCAAATAAACAATCACACTATCGAGCACATAAATAGTCGAATATGTCACCACCCATCCGTAATCAACATGGAACTAATCATTCCCACCAAAACTCCATACAACACTCGCATATGCTCAAGGTGGATTGTAATTCAAGTACTCGACTGTTTTATTTTTTTTTATTTTATTTTTATTTTTTATTTTTCTCTTTTTCTTTCTTTCTTATTTTTTTTAATTAGGGGTTTTGCTTTTTCCTAACAAGATCGAGACGTAAGGACAACATTCTCCTCCTTGTAAGCAGAGTAGAATCCTTTTCGTTCGTCGTGCGAATCCCCTTTTTATTTAAATATCATTTTTTTTTTGTCAAGCACTCAAAATGCAACCCAAACAAGTTATAAACCTTCTCCAAACACATATTAGAAAGCTCTATCATCGTAACAAGTACACTTAGAAATCTCAAATAATTCAATCACATAGGTTGACAAGTAATATGTTTCAAGGCTCAACGGGCTACTAGTGAAAATATAAGTTCAAGGACAATGAAAAAGGCTAAAACGAATTATTTCAAAGAAATGCCTCAATCATTTACACAATTCACAACCTCAATCACTTCATTTCAAAACAGACTCAAAGTTCTGATCAACAACGAATCCGACCAATATCTCTCAAGAAACAACCAAGGCTCAAACCTCACATAAGGTAAATAAATGTCCAACAAAATGACACATCAAGTTCATCAAGGCATACTAATCATGATCATTATCACATATCCTCAACATCATCAATAATCATCAACAAATCTTAAAATTCACCATAATCCATACTCGCAAAAACACACAAACTGACACAAGACACTAAACCAAATATGAAAATGAAGAACACCTTAAAAGACCTAGACGTGGTTAACCATATAGACACATAAAAACTCCCCCACAATTAAAATCGAACGATGTCTCCATTGTCGATCATCAGTGCAAGGAAAGTTTACCATATAATCAACCAACAAAAAAGCAAAAACAATAAACCAAGCACGAAAATAAAGAGAAAGGAAAAATACAGACGTACAGGGCACAGTGACTAGACGAGTCACTGTGAATCCAGTAGTTTAGGTGGAGGGTGGAGGTAGTCAGGCTCCGAACAACGACGGGCGTCAGAAAAATCAAATCTCCTACCCCATTGGGATCGGGGTAGCTCTCTGGAACTCGACTGGGGAGGTGTAATGTGGCGGTTGTTATGGCATTCTTTCTCATCACAAGCTCGATTCTGCAGTGACCTCTTATTGTGCTCTCGCATGCACGCTTCCTCAGTGAGCTGCTCAATCGCCCGAAGGTACACACTCTTCACAAAATTGGCCTGCGGCTTTGGCCGGGTCTCTCGGACAGAAATAGAGATAGTCTCTCCTAACACCGTCATGTTGAGCGCACCACTCTTAACATCAATCATCGTGTTCGTGGTCGCCATGAACGGCCATCCAAGGAAGATGGTGTGCTCTTTCCCATTCACCCGAATGTCCCCTACATCAAGGACAACAAAATCGACGGAGACGATCAACTTCCACAATCGTACTAAAACATCTTCCACAATCCCCTTGGGTTGTCAGAGTGAGCGGTCAGCTAGCTGCAGAAGCATCCGAGTAGGCTTCAAATCCCTAAGCTCGAGCTGTCGATAGACTGCTTGTGGCATCAGATTTAAGCCCGCTTCCAGATCGAGCATCCCCAAAGCCTCTTTCTCATTCCCGAAGGCTATGTTGATCACGAAGCCTTCAGGTTCTCTTTCTTTCTTCGGCAACTTATGCTGGAAGACGCTTTCCACTTCACACACGAGTACATCATCTCCACTCTCGAGCTTTTGTTTATTCGCTGCCAACTCCTTGAAGAATCGTGCATAGGCCGGTATTTTCCTGATCACGTTGAGAGGAGATAGGTCGACGTTGGCCTTAGCTAACACTGCATGTAGGTCCCGAATCATCCTGCGGTCCTTCCCCTCCAAAAGTCGGCTTGGTAAGGGAATTCTCGGTCGGTATGGATTCGTGGATTTGTGTAAGGTAGGCGCGGGTGGTGGTGTCACTGGGGCTTCTCCCATTCTCCCTTGCTTCCTCAGGCCCTCTTTTTCTCCTGTCTCCTCTTCGGGCATAATCACAGTCACCACATTCGCATGCTCGGGCTGACTCGGCAACTTTCCCTTGTTCAATTCAGTCTCGATGGTCCCGACCCATGTGGCTAGCTGGCCTACTTGTGTCTCAAGGCGCTTAATGGAAACATCCTGATTTGTGATGAAATTGAGTATTTTGTCCAACTTGTCGTCCATGTTCGATGGGCTCGGTCCGGCTTCTGGCGTAGGCATCCTTATCATTTGTCCCCTTTGCTGTTGCTAATGGGGGACAAAGTTGGTTTGAGGAGGCTGCTGATAGTGGTTGTTGGCCCATGAGAAGTTCGGGTGGTTTCGCCACCCAGGATTGTACGTGTTCGAGTACGGGTCATTACCGATTCTGATAACCCTGTAGTACGTTCACCTCGGCATTCTGTCCTTTATAGCTCGGCTCGATAGCCGATGGGCACACCCCGGATTTGTGTCCCTGGACTCCATAGGCTCCACACACATTCACAGCCATAGTCTGAACTGGTGAAGCTCCTCTTGCATTTAGTAGCCGCATCTGCTCCGTGAGCTCGGTTAACTGCTGGGCCATCACATTGTTCGATCCTACCTCATTCACTGTCACTCTCTTCCCTTTAATGCTCTTTTGAGATGAGTTCGCACTCATCGTCTCATATATCACCATCATCTCCTCGGTCTTTTTTGCCCTTATATCCCCTCCGGCTGCATTATTCACCATGTACTGCAAGTTCTGGTAGAGAGAGTCGTAAAAGCAATTTGCTAATAGCCCAGGAGAGAGGTTATGGTGGGGGCACTACCTCTGAAGGTCTTTGAAACGTTCCCAGGCCTCGTGAAGAGGCTCATTCAGCAGTTGAGCAAAGGAGACTATCTGGGACCGAATATCTTGGGTTTTCTGATGGGAATAGTACTTCTCAACAAATTTAGAGTATACTTCTGCCCAAGTTTTGAGTTTTGAGAGAATCTAGGGCGAGGGTCATGAACCACGCCTTGGCCAGGTCCTTCAGAGTCTTCGAGAAGCACCACATCTTTAATTGGTCCTCGGTCAGCATGTGTAGAGGGAAAATCTGGAGGACGTTGTAAAACTCCCGCATAAAGTGGAGTGGGTCTTTGTTGGGGAGCCCGTGGAATGATGGGAGCAGATTGTAGTGGACCATCTTAAGTTCATAGTTTCGGGCGTCTTGTCCCAACCGGATACAAGAAGTGATTAGGCCGATCATGAGTTAGGCCAGGTCTCGGAGGAGATCACGGGGAGATTGTTGAGCCATCTCTAGTTTGGTGATTTCGGAAGATTCGAGGCTGAGTTTGTCGAACAGCTCACTCAAGTTCTCGGAATTGGTTTTGTGGTTCGGTGCTAGTACACATCCACTCCTGGTACGCATACACTCAAACAACAAACAGGTTACGAGCACAACGGTAATTAAGAGAAAATAAAACAAAGAGAAACACAGAAAAAGAAAAACACAAAAACAAAGAGAAATATGAAAAACAAAGTGAATAAGCGCACAAAATACGTCCTAAACCTTCCCCGGCAACGGCGCCAATTTGTAGTAAATATTTTACCGGAGTAGAATCAAAAGATTTGAACATCGGGTTGTGTCTCTCGAGGAAGTTTAGCCGGATTATTATGTACGTTTATTCAAACACAAATAAAAGAAATAAAATTCCTAAACATTGGAACGGTTTTAATTATCAACTACTAAAAGAATTTAAATAAAGCAATAGAAATTTTGAAAGCAACAACAAAGAATAAGCATTATTTAAGAAGCTAGGGAGTCGGGGATATCCGTTTTGGTTCGAGTTACCATTAATAGGAAGTTGATTGTTCGGTTAAGTGATTTGAATAACCTGCTAGTTCAAGTACTCATCCTCAATAACTCTTCGTAACAAGAGAACAAACTTGAACGACAAAATTAACATGTCATTTAACACCTAGGCAATACAGTTACGAACAAGCCTAGTTTATACGAGCTTACGTTGAAAAAGATG